AATTGTGTCGCCAAAGAATTTCATTCTTTGTTGTTATTTAAACTTCAATCTTATCATTAATGACTCAAAATAAAACTATTTGAAGGGAGGTAATCCAATATGGCGGACCAGAAACTCGAAAATGATAACCCAAGAATGACTTGTTCCTGTGTATAGTGTGCACCCCCTTTTTGACATGACAATATTTACCTAAAAAAGTGTGCACTATACGCGCAAGTTTACAAGGCTAGTACCTACAGTATCCAGTAAAGTACACAAAAACAGCCGAAGCTACAGAAACCAATGATAGAGACAGAAACCAACCTTAACCACAGAAACCAGTCTTAGCTACAGTAACCAGTAAAGTCCACAAACCAGCGGAAGCTCCAGAAACCAATGATAGAGACAGAAACCAACCTTAACCCCAGAAACCAGTCTTAGCTACAGTAACCAGTAAAGTCCACAAACCAGCGGAAGCTCCAGAAACCAATGATAGAGACAGAAACCAACCTCAACCACAGAAACCAGACTTAGCTACAGTAACCAGTAAAGTTCACAAACCAGCCGAAGCTACAGAAAACAATGATAGAGACAGAAACCAACCTCAACCACAGAAACCAGACTTAGCTACAGTAACCAGTAAAGTTCACAAACCAGCAGAAGCTACAGAAACCAATGATAGAGACAGAAACCAACCTCAACCACAGAAACCAGTCTTAGCTACAGTAACCAGTAAAATACCCAAACCAGCCTAAGCTACAGAAACCAATGATAGAGACAGAAACCAACCTTAACCACAGAAACCAGTCTTAACTACAGTAACCAGTAAAGTTCACAAACCAGCCGATGCTACAGAAACCAATGATAGAGACAGAAACCAACCTTAACCACAGAAACCAGTCTTAGCTACAGTAACCAGTAAAGCACACAAACCAGACGAAGCTACAGAAACCAATGTTAGTAATATATATATATAATAATTATGGTCACAATCATACCACATACATGGATGCTAAATTATGTACTTTGAAATAGTACTACAGATTGTTGAACACAGCAGTAATTTTATACAATACATAGGGAACTGTACAAATGGTTGTATATTATCATTATTAAATACACCAATATATATGATAATCTGTGGTAGTTCTATAACCATCAATTATAGCCATATCTAGGTTGGCTGTTGTACAAGGAAACTATCACTAGATTAGATATTTACTTAATTAACCCATGCATCTCCAGTGATTATGGGTCGGATCAATATTCACGGCATGTAGCCTCCGAAAAGTGATGATATGTGTTTCAGCCATGCGGTAGAAATGGCAGACGCTGGAATTGGAGCAATTTCAGGGACTTTCTCGTCAGTGTAGATCAAGCAACAATGATTGGCCTGGGCCGCTCGCCCATATCTTCATTGATCGTTAGGTAGAGTTACCTCTATCCCACCAAGGTACCGTTACTTAAATAATACCTCACATAAACCACTACATAAAACATTTATGAAGTACCATAGGGGCTCGTATCTTCTAAGAAAATAATACGCTATGCAAAGTGTGTATGATTTTTGGGATAAAAAAAATGTATATGAATAAATGATTTGATAAGGCAGAATGATAGCCGAGCAAGAAAATGTCATCATATGCTGAGCGAGACTAGGAAAAGTTGAGCTTTTGAAACAAAGACATTCCTATGTTTAGTTTAGTACTTATTGCAGCATGTAGAGCTAGAAAGTCATAAACTGTTCCCCTTCATAGAGACTTAGCAGCATATCACGGTCTTCAAATACAACTTTCACTACCCTCTATGGAGATAAATGTCATACTAGAACTACTAGAGGACGGACGGATAGAATGTTGTGTTAGTATCCCATAGCAGACCGATCAAGAAAATAGTATAAATGAACTGAAGGTATATACTACTGAGCATTAATCTTGATAAAGTTGGTTACAAGAATGAAATAAAATTGAGTCACACAAAAATTGACGAAAAAATAACCAAATCATGAAAACTGTTCAAACTCTTCCTTTAAACTGTTGAATTGATCATTTCTTCTTACGATGCCACCTGAACACCATGCAAATGTTAAGGTAGGGGATTTGTGTAAAAACGAACAGGTATTGATGTGTGTAAAAACGAACAGGTAAAGGTGGTTTGTAAAAACGAATAGGTATAGGATGTGTGTAAAAACGACCAGGTAAAGGATGTGTGTAAAAACGAACAGGTAAAGGATGTGTGTAAAAACAAACAGGTAAGGATGTGTGTAAAAAACGAACAGGTAAAGGTGGTTTGTAAAAACCAACAGGTAAAGGATGTGTATAAAAACGAACAGGTAAAGGATGTGTGTAAAAACGAACAGGTAAAGGTGGTTTGTAAAAACGAATAGGTAAAGGATGTGTGTAAAAACGAACAGGTAAAGGATGTGTGTAAAAACAAACAGGTAAAGGTGGTTTGTAAAAACCAACAGGTAAAGGATGTGTATAAAAACGAACAGGTAAAGGATGTGTGTAAAACGAACAGGTATAGGTGGTTTGTAAAATCGAATAGGTAAAGGATCTGTGTAAAACGAACCGGTAAAGGATCTGTGTAAAACGAACAGGTAAAGGATCTGTGTAAAACGAACAGGTAAAGGATGTGTGTAAAAACAAACAGGTAAAGGATGTGACTAAAAACCAACAGGTAAAGGATGTGTGTAAAAACGAACAGGTAAAGGATGTGACTAAAAACCAACAGGTAAGGGATGTGTGTAAAAACGAACAGGCAAAGGATCTGTGTAAAACGAACAGGTAAAGGGTCTGTGTAAAACGAACAGGTAAAGGATCTGTGTAAAACTAACAGGTAAAAGATGTCTGTAAAAACGAACAGGCAAGGATGTGTGTAAAAACGAACAGGTACAGGATCTGTGTAAAACGAACAGGAAAAGGATGTGTGTAAAAACGAACCGGTAAGGATGTGGGTAAAAACCAACAGGTAAAGGATGTGTATAAAAACGAACAGGTATGGATGTGTGTAAAACGAACAGGTAAGGATGTGTGTAAAATGAACAGGGAAAGGATTTGTGTAAAAACGAACAGGTAAGGATGCGTGTAAAAACGAACAGGTCAGGATGTGTATAAAAACGAACAGGTCAGGATGTGTATAAAAACGAACAGGTAAATGATGTGTGTAAAAACAAACAGGTTAAGGATGTGACTAAAAACCAACAGGTAAGGGATGTGTGTAAAAACGAACAGGTCAGGATGTGTATAAAAACGAACAGGTCAGGATGTGTATAAAAACGAACAGGTAAGGATGTGTGTAAAAACGAACAGGTAAGGATGTGTGTAAAATGAACAGGTAAGGATGTGTGTAAAAACGAACAGGTAAAGGATCTGTGTAAAACGAACAGGTAAAGGATGTGTGTAAAACGAACAGGTAAAGGATGTGTGTAAAAACGAACAGGTAAAGGGGGTTTGTAAAAACGATCAGTTAAAGGTGTTTTGTAAAAACCAACAGGTAAAGGATGTGTATAAAAACGAACAGGTAAAGGATGTGTGTAAAAACGAACCGGTAAGGATGTGGGTAAAAACCAACAGTTAAAGGATGTGTGTAAAACGAACAGGTAAGGCTGTGTGTAAAAACGAACGGGTAAGGATGGGTGTAAAATGAACAGGTAAGGATGTGTGTAAAAACGACCAGGTAAAGGATGTGTGTAAAAACGAACAGGTAAGGATGTGTGTACAACGAACAGGTAAGGATGTGTGTAAAAACGAACAGGTACACATGTGGGTTTGTAAAAACAGATTTAAGATGACAGCTGTTCAATTTAGACAGGGTATAAAGGGAAATAACTCTACAGTCAGCAGGACACCTTTATTCTCATACAGATATGTTGATACTCTCCCATACAGAAGAAATATTTGATGAAAAAGTAATAACCATCATTATTACAAAATAAAATATATTTTCATAATGGTGAATTGGTGTACATTTATAGAACAATAAAAATCTGTTTAATGTTTAATATTTCAAAACTTCATTCCATTAAAATGTCAATCACTCCGAAAATAAACAACAATCAAGAATATTAAGATAAATTGGACATCAATTATCATCTAAATGGCTTGTTGTATAAGGTAATTTTCTTTATAGACTTGGCTTTAGATGGCCATATATAACACCTCCGGTTTCACTAACCCTTCGTCTGGTACACATTTCCTGGTTACTTGGTTACGTTAATGTCAACAGAGACGACATTTAGGTGAGACTGATCGCCCGCTTTTCTCTCAACCTCTACTTACACGACCCAGACAATCTCCAAGGTCATCAGTGTCAATCATTGCTTCTGACTCACAAGAACAACAGACACATTCTAATTGTCTGTATGGACAATAGGATAACAATAAACCATGATTTCTAGGGTTGCGGCCCTTTCCTTTCTCTTACTACCTTTAACTATAAATGCTATCATCTGATAATTTTGCGATATATTTTTCCCTGTACACAAGTCTCTCCGGTACCGCATTGGTGTATGTATTACCTCGAGTTCTGTGATCCAGACACATTAGCACACAAAGATTCCGTAGATGGCACAGGGAACACTGTACTAGATATTTATTACTGGGTCGTACACTGTTCATCCAGAATCTTCATAACTTTAATGGTTCCCTATAGAACCGGCACAGTTCATCGTAAACGCAGCATCGTCACACTTATTGGATTATCTGTTGTCTTTTTCATGGCATTACTCTTCACCCTTTGTCTTGACCTAAACTGTTGTAGCACACTATCATGTGAAGGAGATTTTCACCTGTAACCAAAGCTAACACAAATGCAACCAGTACACTGTGTTTGTCCTCGACTCTAACCAATAACCTCCAATGTCGACGTGTGACATCATAATGTGTGCACATCAACAGTCAAAAACCGTCCAGTATGCCCTGTACACAGAGCTAATAGGTAACATTAGAATGTTAGTACAGTATAAGTTTTGCTGCAGGACAGATGAGCCTCCCCTTGTTAAGGAAGTAAAATGTACTTACCATGGTGGAATGCTCTAGTACGGAGATGCCTTCTTCTTGGACGGCCAGCCACACCTCGTCCTCAGGGGTAGGGGACGTCTTCGCCTGTTAACACAGATGATACAGGTTGTTTACCGAAGGCAGATATTACTAATTACAAAATGAAACAAGAGGCCCATGGGCCTTAACAGTCACCTGATATATTTATACAGAGAGTTGATCTTGTTTTTAACACGAACAGAAATATTATTCAGTGACAAAAAAACCAAACACCACCTTATTCAATATCTGGCATACAGATTTAAGACTAAAAAGTATTTGAAACTAGCACCTCTGATTCTAAACAAGGAAAATGAAGAAATTTTAGCACACTGACTCCTTTGGGCCCCACCCTACAGCCCTTGGGGGTAGGTATCAAACTGTCAACTCAGGGTTATAATTCCAATCAAGTTATTAACATGTAATACGCAAAGTATAATTTGCCATTATAAACCATAATAAATTTGTTTTGAAATTTCAGTCAATTCAACCCTTTTTGGCCCCTCCCATCAGCCCCGCGGGGTTAGTCAGGGCTCATATGTGCATACCATCAAACTGCTACCCAATACTGATAATGCTAACCCAAATTGAATTATTTCCAATGAAAATTAAACAAATGTTGGTCCAAAATGTGATTTCCCTATATAAACTATAGTAAAGTTTACCCCCTCCCCAGGGGTACACATGAGACCCCAGGGTCATGAAATTCACAATTTTCGTAGAGCACCTTAAGACCCTTCCATCTATGAAGAGTGTTTGATTCTACCATATCTGGGTCTTGAGAAGAAGATTTTTGAAATTCCAGTCAATTCAACCCTATTTGGCCCCTCCCATCAGCCCCGGGAGGTCAGTCAGGGCTCATATGTGCATACCATCAAACTGCTACCCAATACTGATAATGCTAACCCAAATTGAATTACTTCCAATGAAAATTAAACAAATGTTGGTCCAAAATGTGATTTCCCTATATAAACTATAGTAAAGTTTACCCCCTCCCCAGGGGTACACATGAGACCCCAGGGTCATGAAATTCACAATTTTGGTAGAGCACCTTAAGACCCTTCCATCTATGAAGATTGTTTGATTCTACCATATCTGGGCCTTGAAAAGAAGATTGTTCAAATTTCAGTCAATTCAACCCTTTTTGGCCCCGCCCATCAGCCCCTGGGGGGTCAGTCAGGGCTCATATGTGCATATCATCAAACTGCTATCTAATACTGATAATGCTAACCCAAATTGAATTACTTCCAATGAAAATTAAACAAATGTTGGTCCAAAATGTAATTTCCCGATATAAACTACAGTAAAGTTTACCCCCTCCCCAGGGGTACATTTGAGACCCCAGGGTCATAAAATTCACAATTTTGGTAGAGCACCTTAAGACCCTTCCATCTATGAAGAGTGTTTGATTCTACCATATCTGGGTCTTGAGAAGAAGATTTTTGAAATTCCAGTCAATTCAACCCTATTTGGCCCCTCCCATCACCCCCGGGGGGTCAGTCAGAGCTCATATGTGCATATCATCAAACTGCTATCTAATACTGATAATGCTAACCCAAATTGAATTACCTCAAATGGCAATTAAACAAATGTTGGTCCAAAATATGATTTCCCTATATAAACTATAGTAAAGTTTACCCCTTCCCCAGGGGGAAACGTGAGACCCCAGGGTCAAGAAATTCACAATTTTGGTAATGCACCTTAAGACCCTTCCATCTATGAAGAGTATTTGATTCTAACATATCTGGGTCTTGAGAAGAAGATTTTTGAAATTTAGTCAATTTGACCCTTTTTGGCTCCGCCCCTCAGGCCCCTGGGTGCCGGGGACCAAACCAGCAACTATTTTTGTTCACCTTTGGCAATGGAAGCTTTCTGCAAAATTTCATTGAAATTGGTTCAGGGGTTTTGGAGAAGAAGTCGAAAATGAAAATTGTTTATGGACGGACGACGACGGACAAAAGTCGATCGCAATAGGTCACTTGAGAGTTTGTCTCAGGTAACCTTAAAACTCCCTTGGCATTATAGTGAACAATGACATATAAGCATATATAGTGTACTTTTAAATGTTGGACATTTTTACTTTTATTTAAGCATTTAACTTTTAAGTAATTATCAGTTACCAGTCCTTGCCAATTATTTGCCTTTGTTGTACTTACCTTTGTGAAGAAAAGTTTGGCACCACAGAAAGGCCATTTCCTGACCACAGCGAGGTAGACTCGGACACAGTCCTGGGGAGAACGGCCCCTCAGTGACACCCACCTCTCCAACAGCTTGGACACTGTTGACCTGAACATCAGGGTACAGAACAAGGTCATTATCAGTAGTGGCTATTAATGGGTCAAGGTCATTACAAATAGTAGTTAGGGATGAGTCAAGGTTATTACAAGCAATTAGGGGTTGTTCATTGTCATTACCAGTAGAAGCTTAGGATGGCTAAAGATCATCACTTGTAGTAGTTTAGTATGGATCATTGTCATTACCAGTGGAAGTTAGGGATGGCTCAAGGTCATCACTTGTAGTAGTTTAGGATGGATCAATGTCATTACCAGTGGAAGTTAGGGATGGCTCAAGGTCATCACTTGTAGTAGTTTAGGATGGATCATTGTCATTACCAGTGGAAGTTAGGGATGGCTCAAGGTCATCACTTGTAGTAGTTTAGGATGGATCAATGTCATTACCAGTGGAAGTTAGGGATGGCTCAAGGTCATCACTTGTAGTAGTTTAGGATGGATCAATGTCATTACCAGTGGAAGTTAGGGATGGCTAAAGGTCATCACTTGTAGTAGTTTAGGATGGATCATTGTCATTACCAGTGGAAGTTAGGGATGGCTCAAGGTCATCACTTGTAGTAGTTTAGGATGGATCAATGTCATTACCAGTGGAAGTTAGGGATGGCTCAAGGTCATCACTTGTAGTAGTTTAGGATGGATCAATGTCATTACCAGTGGAAGTTAGGGATGGCTCAAGGTCATCACTTGTAGTAGTTTAGGATGGATCAATGTCATTACCAGTGGAAGTTAGGGATGGCTCAAGGTCATCACTTGTAGTAGTTTAGGATGGATCAATGTCATTACCAGTGGAAGTTAGGGATGGCTCAAGGTCATCACTTGTAGTAGTTTAGGATGGATCAATGTCATTACCAGTGGAAGTTAGGGATGGCTCAAGGTCATCACTTGTAGTAGTTTAGGATGGATCAATGTCATTACCAGTGGAAGTTAGGGATGGCTCAAGGTCATCACTTGTAGTAGTTTAGGATGGATCAATGTCATTACCAGTGGAAGTTAGGGATGGCTCAAGGTCATCACTTGTAGTAGTTTAGGATGGATCAATGTCATTACCAGTGGAAGTTAGGGATGGCTCAAGGTCATCACTTGTAGTAGTTTAGGATGGATCAATGTCATTACCAGTGGAAGTTAGGGATGGCTCAAGGTCATCACTTGTAGTAGTTTAGGATGGATCAATGTCATTACCAGTGGAAGTTACAGATGGCTCAAGGTCATCACTTGTAGTAATTTAGGATGGATCAATGTCATTACCAGTGGAAGTTAGGGATGGCTCAAGGTCATCACTTGTAGCAGTTTAGGATGGATCAATGTCATTACCAGTGAAAGTTAGGGATGGCTAAAGATCATCACTTGTAGTAGTTTAGGATGGATCATTGTCATTACCAGTGGAAGTTAGGGATGGCTCAAGGTCATCACTTGTAGTAGATTAGGGTGGATCAATGTCATTACCAGTGGAAGTTAGGGGTGGCTCAAGATCATCACTTGTAGTAGTTTAGGATGGATCAATGTCATGACCAGTGGAAGTTAGGGATGGCTAAAGGTCATCACTTGTAATAGTTTAGAATGGATCAATGTCTTTACCAGTGGAAGTTAGGGATGGCTCAAGGTCATCACTTGTAGTAGTTTAGGATGGATCATTGTCATTACCAGTGGAAGTTAGGGATGGCTCAAGATCATCACTTGTAGTATTTTAGGATGGATCAATGTCATGACCAGTGGAAGTTAGGGATGGCTCAAGGTCATCACTTGTAGAAGATTAGGATGGATCAATGTCATTACCAGTGGAAGTTAGGGATCGCTCAAGGTCATCACTTGTAGTTTAAGATGGATCAATGTCTTTACCAGCAGAAGTTAGGGATGGCTAAAGGTCATCACTTGTAGTGGTTTAGGATGGATCAATGTATTTACCAGTGGAAGTTAGGGATGACTAAAGGTCATCACTTGTAGTAGTTTAGGATGGATCAATGTCATTACCAGTGGAAGTTACGGATGGCTCAAGGTCATCACTTGTAGTAATTTAGGATGGATCAATGTCATTACCAGCGGAAGTTAGGGATGGCTCAAGGTCATCACTTGTAGTAGTTTAGGATGGATCAATGTCATTACCAGTGGAAGTTAGGGATGGCTCAAGGTCATCACTTGTAGTAGTTTAGGATGGATCAATGTCATTACCAGTGGAAGTTAGGGATGGCTCAAGGTCATCACTTGTAGTAGTTTAGGATGGATCAATGTCATTACCAGTGGAAGTTAGGGATGGCTCAAGGTCATCACTTGTAGTAGTTTAGGATGGATCAATGTCATTACCAGTGGAAGTTAGGGATGGCTCAAGGTCATCACTTGTAGTAGTTTAGGATGGATCAATGTCATTACCAGTGGAAGTTAGGGATGGCTCAAGGTCATCACTTGTAGTAGTTTAGGATGGATCAATGTCATTACCAGTGGAAGTTAGGGATGGCTCAAGGTCATCACTTGTAGTAGTTTAGGATGGATCAATGTCATTACCAGTGGAAGTTAGGGATGGCTCAAGGTCATCACTTGTAGTAGTTTAGGATGGATCAATGTCATTACCAGTGGAAGTTAGGGATGGCTCAAGGTCATCACTTGTAGTAGTTTAGGATGGATCAATGTCATTACCAGTGGAAGTTAGGGATGGCTCAAGGTCATCACTTGTAGTAGTTTAGGATGGATCAATGTCATTACCAGTGGAAGTTAGGGATGGCTCAAGGTCATCACTTGTAGTAGTTTAGGATGGATCAATGTCATTACCAGTAGGAGTTAGGGATGGCTCAAGGTCATCACTTGTAGTAGTTTAGGATGGATCATTGTCATTACCAGCAGTAGTTATGAGTTGGGTCAAGATTATTACCATCAATAGTTGAGGAGAGGTCAAGGTCATGACAAGTAGTAGTTAAGGAATGGTCAATGTCATTACCAATAGAAAATAGAGATGGGTCAAGGTCATTACCAGTGGTAGTTAGGAAGAGGTCAAGGCCATTACCAAAAGTAAGGAGAAGTTTAGATTGGTCAACATTGAATAAGCACTGTGAGACAAAGTATTGTTAAAGAATGGTAGACTTGTATCTAACAGTGATATAAACATGTTACATATATATTGCTGTTCCAGTGATAACTCACTTCGAAAACTTTACTTTGATATAATTGACAAGTAGAAAGGAAGCTCCCATCTGTATGTATTATTGACATGATCTCCTAGGTAGACATCTGTATGTATTATTGACCTTATCTCCTAGGCAGACATCTGTATGTATTATTGACATGATCTCCTAGGCAGACATCTGTGTGTATTATTGACCTTATCTCCTAGGCAGACATCTGTATGTATTATTGACCTGATCAACTAGGCAGACATCTGTATGTGTTATTGACCTTATCTCCTAGGCAGACATCTTTATGTATTATTGACCTTATCTCCTAGGCAGACATCTGTATGTAGTATTGACCTGATCTCCTAGGCAGACATCTGTATGTGTTATTGCCCTTATCTCCTAGGCAGACATCTGTATGTTTTATTGACCTGATCAACTAGGCAGACATCTGTATGTGTTATTGGCCTTATCTCCTAGGCAGACATCTTTATGTATTATTGACCTTATCTCCTAGGCAGACATCTGTCTGTATTATTGACCTTAACTCCTAGGCAGACATCTGTATGTATTATTGACCTAATCTCCTAGGCAGACATCTGTATGTGTTATGGACCTTATCTCCTAGGCAGACATCTGTATGTATTATTGACCTAATCTCCTAGGCAGACATCTGTATGTGTTATTGACCTTATCTCCTAGGCAGACATCTGTATGTATTATTGACCTTATCTCCTAGGCAGGTACACGGCTTACCTTTGTTCATCCTCAGTTGCATGGCTATACTTTCTGGGATAGAATCGGTCAAGGACAGTGGTCAGCTGTTGGGCAAGATTGGGTTGGTAGGGAGGGGCAGCCCCGCCCACCTGACTAGACTCATTCGACAGCTTCACGTCTCCAAACTCGATCTGCAAAATATCAAAATACAGATATTCAACATATATTCTGATGTAATAGATGGTTTGATGGGAACTCTAAGAAAACGAGGTAACCAGGAACACTGATAGTGAAGATTTTTATTCCTGTGTATGAGACATCTTTTCTCTGTTAATTAAGTATTCAGCTGTTACTTACATAAGTAAAAATCACTTTATTTGTTGACTGGGTGGTCTCTTAAGTACACATCTGTGTTCCTAATTATAACATTTTATCAGTACAGACGATCCTGTTGTAGCTTTGGCTTCAGCCCTACTACAAACTGCTGACAAAACAACACAACTACCAACACCTACCAACTAATGACAGAACAACTACCAACTACTGACAAACCATCACAACTACCAACACCTACCAACTGATGACAGAACAACTACCGATGACAGTACAACTACCAACTACTGACAATCAGTACAACTACCAACTACTGACAATCAGTACAACTACTGACAAACAGTACAACTACCAACTACTGACAAACAGTATAACTTCCAACTACTGACAATCAGTACAACTACCAACTACTGACAAACAGTACAACTCCCAACTACTGACAAACAGTACAACTACCAACTACTGACAAACAGTACAACTACCAACCACTGACAAACAGTACAACTACCAACTACTGACAATCAGTACAACTACCAACTACTGGCAAACAGTACAACTACCAACTACTGACAAACAGTCCAACTACCAACTACTGACAATCAGTACAACTACCAACTACTGACAATCAGTACAACTACTGACAAACAGTACAACTACCAACTACTGACAAACAGTATAACTACCAACTACTGACAAACAGTACAACCACCAACTACTGATGACAGTACAACTACCAATTGATGACAGTACAACTGCCAACTACTGACAAACAGTACAACTACCAACTGATGACAGTACAACCACCAACTACTGACAAACAGTACAACTACCAACTACTGACAAATCATCACAACTACCAACATCTACCAACTGATGACAGAACAACTACCAACTACTGGGAAACAGTACAACTACCAACTGATGACAGTACAACCACCAACTACTGATGACAGTACAACTACCAACTACTGATGACATTACAACTACCAACTACTGACAAACAGTACAACTACCAACTGATGACAGTATAATTACCGACTACTGACAAACAGTACAACTACCAACTACTGACAAACAGCATAACTACCAACTACTGACAAACAGTACGACCACCAACTGATAACAGTACAACTACCAACTGATGACAGTACAACTACCAACTACTGACAAACAGTACAACTACCAACTGATGACAGTACAACCACCAACTACTGACAAACAGTATAACTACCAACTACTGACAAACAGTATAACCACCAACTACTGACAAACAGTATAACTACCAACTACTGACAAACAGTACAACTACGAACTACTGGCAAACAGTACAACTACCAACTACTGACAAACAGTATAACTACCAACTGATGACAGTACAACCACCAACTACTGACAAACAGTATAACTACCAACTACTGACAAACAGTATAACCACCAACTACTGACAAACAGTATAACTACCAACTACTGACAAACAGTACAACTACGAACTACTGGCAAACAGTACAACTACCAACTACTGACAAACAGTATAACTACCAACTGATGACAGTACAACCACCAACTACTGACAAACAGTATAACTACCAACTACTGACAAACAGTATAACTACCAACTACTGGCAAACAGTATAACTACCAACTACTGACAAACAGTATAACTACCAACTACTGGCAAACTGTACAACTACCAACTACTGACAAACAGTACAACTACCAACTACTGGCAAACAGTACAACTATCAACTACTGACAAACAGTATAACCACCAACTACTGACAAACAGTATAACTACCAACTACTGGCAAACAGTACAACTACCAACTACTGACAAACAGTATAACCACCAACTACTGACAAACAGTATTAACCACAAAACAAAAAACAAAAACAAACAGACACTCATAATTAGCTAAAAAACAAATGTTTTGATAATAAGAAATAGGACCATCAAAAGTTAATAAAGTTGTGATGTTATGATCTTATAAAAGAAAGTGTCCGGGTTTAAATTGCTGTCCTTGCATAATCAGGTTAATTTGTAAAACAGAATGTAGTTTACAGACAGAGCTTCATTAAACAATGACCACTTATGGCTACCGTAATTGTGGATGATGTTATATCATCTTCCAATTCAAATTCTGTTTCAACTGTTCATTATATAAGCAAGGCTTTAGATGCGTGTGGTTTTATGGTTATGAATGTCTTTTGTCTGTATAACGACACATCTTTTAGATCAAGGTAGTATTAATCAGGAGATCCAAATTCACAAATTGGAAATTTTGACAGCATATGTTGTACCAATGTGAAAAGCTACTTAGCACATTATTACAGGTGAAATGAAATCTTCACACATTATAAATGGGCTACCTAGCATATTACTACAGGAGAAACGAAATCTTCAGACATTATAAATGGGCTAATAAAATTTTCAGACATGCAATATATAGCTTGTAAAAAAAAAACCAAAACTAAAACGAAGTCTGAAACATATTTTAAAAATGTGCATATTATATTAATAATTATTATAACCTTGAAGAAGATCGGAAACAAATCCTTTTCTCTTTATTAAATGGAGAAGTTTGCATTAGAGCTAGGAAGGACTGAGTGACACATATCTAATGTAAAATGTATCACTGCTAACATACAACAGCATACTGTAGCATCTACTGAAGGTGCTGCTTTCTTAGTAAATCTTTAGTACTGAAGTGCTGCTTTCTTAGTAAATCTTTAGTACTGAAGTGCTGCTTTCTAAGTAAATCTTTAGTACTGAAGTGCTGCTTTCTTAGTAAATCTTTAGTACTGAAGTGCTGCTTTCTAAGTAAATCTTTAGTACTGAAGTGCTGCTTTCTTAGTAAATCTTTAGTACTGAAGTGCTGCTTTCTAAGTAAATCTTTAGTACTGAAGTGCTGCTTTCTTAGTAAATCTTTAGTACTGAAGTGCTGCTTTCTAAGTAAATCTTTAGTACTGAAGTGCTGCTTTCTTAGTAAATCTTTAGTACTGAAGTGCTGCTTTCTAAGTAAATCTTTAGTACTGAAGTGCTGCTTTCTTAGTAAATCTTTAGTACTGAAGTGCTGCTTTCTAAGTAAATCTTTAGTACTGAAGTGCTGCTTTCTTAGTAAATCTTTAGTACTGAAGTGCTGCTTTCTAAGTAAATCTTTAGTACTGAAGTGCTGCTTTCTTAGTAAATCTTTAGTACTGACGTGCTGCTTTCTTAGTAAATCTTTAGTACTGACGTGCTGCTTTCTTAGTAAATCTTAAGTACTGAAGTGCAGTTTTCTTAGTAAATCTTTAGTACTGAAGTGCTGCTTTCTTAGTAAATCTTTAGTACGGAAGTGCTGCTTTCTAAGTGAATATTTAGTACTGAAGTGCAGTTTTCTTAGAAAATCTTTAGTACTGAAGTGCTGCTTTCTAAGTAAATCTTTAGTACGTATACTGAAGTGCTGCTTTCTAAGTAAATATTTAGTACTGAAGTGCAGCTTTCTTAGTAAATTTTTAGTACTGAAGTGCTGCTTTCTCAGTAAATCTTTAGTACTGAAGTGCTGCTTTCTTAGTAAATCTTTAGTACTGAAGTTAAGATTTTTTTTTTATTTAATCTATATTACTGAAGTTGAGTTTTTTTTTTTTTATTAAATCTATATTACTGAAGTTAAGCTTTTTTTGATAAATCTTTATTAATGAAGTGAACCTTTTTCATTAAATCTTTATTACCGAAGTTAAGGGCCAGCTGTCACACCTAGCCAATTTGGGTCGCCTGAGCTATACCGGAGCACAAATTTGGCGATTTTCGCGGATCGGTTCTAGTATGGAAGTGCAACGGTATCACATCGCTTAGAACGGTTGTACATCGTCAGGCCATCGTCAGAGCATTGGCGAAAAATTAAACAACAGAAAAACATCGGCAGCTCATCGGTAACGTACTAAGGTGTCAGAAAGTAGTATTCGGTAGCACATCGGCTCTTACATCGGTAAAACAATGGTATCACAACGGGAACGCTGGTACTGCATCAGTATTGCCCGGTCAATTTAACTTTTTCAAGTGCTTACTCGCCGGAGCTCTGGCGATTTTCTCGCTGTTGTTAAGTTTAGTCCTGGTGAGGTACATTGGGAGTGTGTAACAGGCTCTTAAAGCTTTTTTTGGTAAATTTTTATTATTGTCATATACTGAAATTAAGCTTTACTTGGTAAGTGGTTATTACTGAAGTTAAGCTTTACTTGGTAAGTCGTTATTACTGAAGTTAAGCTTTTCTTGGTAAATAGTTATTACTGAAGTTAAGCTTTTCTTGGTATTAGTCGTCATTACTGAAGTTAAGCTTTTCTTGGTAAGTCGTTATTACTGAAGTTAAGCTTTCTTGGTAAATCGTAATCACTGTAAAACGTGTTGAGCTGATTGTATAGAGCATGTGTCTACATGGCTACTAAGACTTGGCTATTTACGGCCACGCTATGGAGCTCAGACAGCTCAGACAGCTCAGAGCAATGAATTAACATGCATGGACAGGTGAGCACAGTGCCTGTATTACAGCCGAACAGTGGTGTGGCTTTATCTAACCACAGCACAATACTACATAACTACACCCTGATAGTCGAGGCCCACATGAACATGTTCAGTAAGGATGGACCCGACAGATTTACGGGAGAGTTTCCAAGTGTGAGATAGCCACACATCTATTATCTGTCCCATAAAAGTTTTTTTTCCTGCATTTGTGCAATATTCAGTTGCAAAATAGCCTGCAGTAAAACATTATACAATACAAGTTATAATAGAATTTGTAATAAAATCTTAAACGTCATTACAAGTTATAAAACCAATAAAAAACTTATAAATAAGTAAAAGTTATGAAGTCTTATTTACTGCTTA